AAATCAACTTGACACTGTGTGGGTAAAGGACTTGACAAAAATACGGGCAATTTTGTCTTATCAGTTGAGGAAAAGCTTTAGCTCTTTAGGTTGTTTGATACCACCGAGGAAACCCTGGAAGAAATTAACATGCTCCTGAAGAACAGTGTTCTTGAAGAAACCTTGGGATAGAAATGGACTGCAAGTCCTTTAGGATCAGAAACAGAATAATCTATTTAAGGTTTCCTTTAAGTCTACGTTCTCATATTTGTCATTTTGTTGAAAAGTTTTCCATTGGCTATGTTAGCAATCTTACTTCTTTCAAGGTTTCCTTTGTCACTGATACTGAAGGACGTGGAGTTACTAGAAAATAGATTGCATGAGAACTGAAAAATCTTTAATTTTTTCTTTTTTTCCCCCCCTTTTTCTTTTCAGAGACAGGGTCTCCCTCTGTTACCCAGGCAGGAGTTCAGTGGCTCTATCACCGCCCACCATAACCTTGACCTCCCTGGGCTCACACAGTCCTCACACCTCAGCCTCCCAAGTAGCTGGGACTACAGGTGTGTGCCAACATGTCTGGATAATTATTTTAATTTTTTGTAGAGACAGTGTTTCACCATGTTGCCCAGGCTAGTCATTTTTCTAATATTGGTAAGGATACCTGGCTACAGGGTACAAATAATATAGTTCTTTTAAAAGTACTAGGTTATCCTTTGAACTAAGTAGTCTTTGATCTGCATCAGGTGCAACTGAAAAAGGTGACAGGAACTGGCCAATCAGTCATATAAACACGTGGGTGCCTTCTGCAGATATTACAAGAAGGATAAGGAAGACAGAAAGGAAGTTGTTCCTATTTCCTGCTTATCCTGTGCTGCTTTTTACTGTCATCTCTTTCCCAGGGCTGCCTGTTCTGGAGCTGTTGAAACCATTTTGTTTGGAAGTAATTTTAAGAAAGAATGACTTTTACATAAATCTCTGATCCAGTAGTACTCTGGCAGGTCTAAGTCATAGGTGATGTTAGTTGAGAAAGAAAGAAAAATGATGATGGGAGTAGAGGAGAAAGAAAAGAAAGAAGTACATTCAAAACAATGTTACCAGGAGTGGTTTCAGATGAGCCTGTCAGTAGTATAGCATGTTATGCTTAATTTGGTTGTAATCCAGTTGGGGGCTAGTTTACTTTTTGAGCCTTGGATTGGAATGTTTTTATTTTTATTTATTTATTTTTTGAGATAGGGTCTCTGTCACCCAGGCTGGGGTGCAGTGATCATGACTCGCTGCAGCCTCGACCTTCCAGGCTCAGTCAGTTCTTGCACCTCAGCCTCCCAAGTAGCAGGAACTATAAGCATGTGCCACCATGGCTGGCTAATTTATAAAATTTTTTTGTAGAAGCAGGGTTTTGCCATGTTGCACAGGCTGGTCTAAAACTCTTGGGCTCAAGCAATTCTCCTGACTCAGCCTCCGAAAGTGCTGGGATTATTAAACGTGAGCCACGATGCCTGGTTTTAGTTTTTAAAAAATGCATCTCGTCAGGCGTGGTGGTGCATGCCTGTAATCCTAGCACTTTGGGAGGCCAAGCGCAATGGATGATGAGGTCAAAAGATTGAGAGCATCCTGGCCAACATGGTGAACCCCGTGTCTACTAAAAATACAAAGATTAGCTGGGCCTGGTGGTGCATACCTGTAGTCCCAGCTACTTGGGAGGCTGAGGCAGGAGAATCACTTGAACCTGGCAGAGATTGTAGTGAGCCGAAATCGTGCCACTGCACTCCAGCCTGGGCCACAGAGCAAGACTCTGTCTCAAAACAAAGAAAATATCTCTTTTTCCTCAATGCTATTGAAATTTTAGTGAATTAAGAAAAAATGTATCCATAATCCTAACCTCCTGACAAAACCACTGATAAACTATTCACGTATTTCCAGCCAAATCTATTTTTATTCTGTAATTATTTTTATGTGTCTGGAATTAGAAAATGCTTACATTTTTGTCTTTTCTTCTGTGAAATGTCTTTTAGTGTGTCCTTGGAAAGCTGGCTGACGGATAAATATTGGATGATACCACAATACAATATTGAATGATACTACAATACAAAAATTAGCCGGGCAGGGTGGCGCACACCTGTAGTCCCAGCTACTTGGGAGGCTGAGGCAGGAGAATTGCTTGAACCCAGGAGGTGGAGGTTGCAGTGAGCCAAGATTGGGTCATTGCACTCTAGCCTGAGGGAAAGAGTGAGACTCCCATCTCCAAAAAAAAAAAAAAAAAAAAAAAAAGAAAAGAAAGAAAAAGAAATATTTATATTGTTTTCCATAGTGGTTGTACTAGTTTTCATTCCCATCAGCCCAACAGCAATGTATACACTATTACTATTAAGTAAGTGAATAATCTTTAAAATTATGCTGAAGATGATTGAAGACTTCTGAGAAAACTATTCTGTCCTCTTCAGGAGTTGTTCTGATTTGTGTCTGGGATATATCAGCTGCTACATTAAGAAGTACATTTTTTGTCTGTTTTCTTTTTTTATTTTTTGAGATGTTGTCTTGCTCTGTTACCCAGGCTGGAGTGCAGTGGTGCAATCTCAACTCACTGCAACCTCCATCTCCTGGGTCCAAGCGATTCTCCTCTCTCAGCCTTCTGAGTATCTGGGATTATAGGCATGTGCCACCATGCCTGGCTAATTTTTATTTTTGAGATGGAGTCTCGCTCTGTCACCCATGCTGGAGTGCAGTGCCATGGTCTCGGCTCACTACAACCTCCACCTCCCGGGTTTAAGCAAGTCTTCTGCCTCAGCCTCCCGAGGAGCTGGAATTACAGGTGTCCACCACCATGCCTGGCCAATTTTTGTATTTTTAGTGGATATGGGGTTTTACCATGTTGGCCAGGCTGGTCTCAAACTCCTGACCTTGTTGTCCACCCTCCTGGGCCTCCCAAAGTGCAGGGATTACAGGTGTGAGCCATCGTGCCTGGCCTCACCTGGCTAATTTTTGTATTTTTACTAAAGATGGGGTTTTGCCGTGTTGGCCAGACTGGTCTCAAACTCCTGATCTCCAGTGATCCGCCTGCTTTGGCCTCCCAAAGAGCTGGTATTACAGGTGTGAGCCACTGCGCCCAACCAGTGTTTCCATTTTTAAATGAGTTCTTAATCAGATCTAGACATATATTCTATAGTGAAGTAGTAAAACATCATCAGTCTTTATTCGGGTGGACAGAATAACAGGCTAGCTCTGATGAATGAGAAATGGTGTCAGATAAGTTGGGAATGTCTTAAATATTTATTGGAGAAAACTTTTTGGTAAAGTCTGCTTTATTTTGCCTGAATGAAGTAAATTCCAGTGCATTAAAGTCATTTAGAATTTCAATATAGCCAGTTCTGTTAGAACAGACTTACTTGAGGCCGGGCGTGGTGGCTCAAGCCTGTAATCCCAGCACTTTGGGAGGCCGAGGCGGGTGGATCACGAGGTCAAGAGATCAAAACCATCCTGGTCAACATGATGAAACCCTGTATCTACTAAAAATACAAAAAATTAGCTGGGCATGGTGGCGTGTGCCTGTAATCCCAGCTACTCAGGAGGCTGAGGCAGGAGAATTGCCTGAAACCAGGAGGCGGAGGTTGTGATGAGCCGAGACCGCGCCATTGCACTCCAGCCTGGGTAACAAGAGCGAAACTCCGTCTCAAAAAAAAAAAAAAAAAAAACAGACTTACTTGAGAATTCCTTTGTGATTCATACCGTAATGAAATTTTGCTGGTTTATTTTGGTAAAGCAAGTCAAAAATTTTTAAGTTACGGAATATTTAGCTAAAGGAGCTATGCTTCTTAGCAATGTGTATAGAAGAAAAGAGATCATGAGATTTGTGTTGCATTCTTTCATAGTAGTTAATCTTCAATCTCAAATACCTTGTGTTAGAAAGGTTAGATGGTCTTTTTCATCCTTATTATTTAATCCTGGCAGATGGGTTTTTCTTCTCCCTTTTGTCAAAATAGGTTTAATAAGTAATAGTAACAGGTTCGTAGATATAGTCTTTATTTTACTTATTTATTTTTTTGAGATGGAGTTTCACTCTTGGTGCCCAGGCTGGAGTATAATGGCGCAATTTCAGCTCACCGCAACCTCTGTTTTCCAGGTTCAATTGATTCTCCTGTATCAGCCTCCCAAGTACCTGGGATTACAGGCATGCTTCATCATACCCAATTAATTTTATATTTTTAGTAGAGATAGGGTTTCAACATGTTGGTCAGGCTAATTTTGATCTCCCAACCTCAGATGATCCACTTGCCTCTGCCTTCCAACCTGCTGGGATTACAGGCATGAGCTGCCGCACCCAGCGATATATTCTTAATCATTTGACTACATTTGTTTTGTTCATCATTGGACCTTTAGCACCTCTTATAGTACCTGGTAACAACAGACACTCAGGTGTTTGTTACACAGACAGTGTTGGTTATTGTTAATTGCGGAGTAATAAACCTTCATTTTTTTCTTTTATATGGTTGTGGGTTTTATTTTGTTTTGTTTTTTGAGATGGAATCTTTTTCTGTCACCCAGGCTGGAGTCTAGTGGCACAATACCGGCTCATTGCAACCTCCACCTCCTGGGGTCAAGCAATTCTCCTGCCTCAGCTTCCAGAATAGCTGAGATTATAGACACGTACACCACCATGCTCGGCTCATTTTTGTATTTTTGGTAGAGACAGGGTTTCACCATGTTGACTAGGCTGCCCAGCTATGGTAATTTTAGATGGTTTAGTAGAATTTCTGCTGACGGCAGCTTTCTGAGGCTGATATTATAATACACTCTCATAGGTTGCTGTGGGTAGCATAGTCAAAAGAGTTAGGAGGTTTAAGAATTAGTATAAAATTAAATACTCTAAAATTTATTGGAGTAATTTAGTAGTAGGAAGAGAGGTATTTGGTGACTAATTTCTCTAAGAAGAAAGATAATTTCTCTGTTAAAAGTGAATGTATAAATGAGCATGAAAACTGCACAAAGAGAAATATCCTAAATTATTATGTTTTTGTTTATTTCAGGGTTGAAAACACAGTTAAATCACTGTCAAAGTTAAAAGGCTATTAAGTACACAAGATGGGGACTCCTGGTTCTGGAAGGAAAAGAACACCTGTGAAAGACCGATTTTCTGCAGAAGATGAAGCTTTGAGTAACATTGCCAGAGAGGTATGTTTGGTAAATTCCCTCTCAACACCAAGTTGCACAGATGTACTGTAAACATGCTGAGGGGACAGAGATAGAGACATGTACTCATTTAACTAGTTTTGGATGTTTATTAAGAGCAAGATATAGCTGGTCTCTAAAATAGTGTATTAGAATAAAATATAGTTGGATATTATCAAAAGAAATCAAATATAGAGATGAATCTCTGAACAACACATTTTATTTGAGACAATAGAATTGTAATTTGGGCATACACATAGACTGCTTTGGTCTTTGGTATGTCCCAAAGAACAGAGAAAAGATTGAGGTTTTTATTAGAGAAATGTTATCTTTTGTTTTGAAAGAAAACTCATCGCCACTAGCAAAGTTTTCCGAAGCTGGCATGCTCCGATTGGTTGGTGACTGTGGTAGGTGAACTCTTAGAGTTACTGCAGGTCATTTCCGCAGCTACTAGGTAAAACTGGTCTTAAGGTTATAGCAGGTTATTTCAGCAGCTGGCTTGCCAGATAATCTCTGGGCAGGTGCTTGTGACCTAAGTGCTTTTCTTTTCCTTTTCTTCCCCTGGTCTCTAATTTAATTGGGTATGACAATTAATTTTTCTATATATTTTTGTGGGTTGCTTGAGTTCCATGTATTTGTTCTAATGTATTGAAATTTGTAATTAATCTTTGGAATGTAAACATAATGAGAATGTTGAAGATATGATATTATAGAAATACTCATTGGGCTCTGCAGTGAATACGCTTCAGATGTGCTGATATAAGTGAAACAATATTTCATGTATGTTCAGATTCAGAGCCTTATAGTTAAAAATTCTACTGAAATATTGCCGTGGAATTTTTATGTTTAATTTTTTAGCTGGTAACAGCTTCTGGGGCAATTTTGTTTCAGCTGCTTGTAACTCAGAAAAAGAAAAAGGGAAGAGGCGTCACCTATTTAATCACTGGCAACATTCACTGCTGTATATTGGAATTTTTTTTTTTTTTTTTTTTTTTTTTGATACAGAGTCTTGCTCTGGTCCCCAGGCTGGAGTGCAGTGGCGCAATCTTGGCTCACTGCAACCTCCTTCCTCCCGGGTTCAAGCTATTCTTCTGCCTCAGCCTCCTGAGTAGCTGAGATTACAGTTGTGCGCCACCATGCCTGGCTAATTTTTGTGTTTTTAGTAATCAGAAGTTGAAGATATGGCTGGGCACGGTGGCGGGCGCCTGTAATCCAGCTCCCCAGGACGCCGAAGTCGGCAGATCATGGGTGCTCGGGAATTTGGGGCTGCGGCGCTGTGTACAGCGGGCGTCCGCACCGGGCCTGGCACCAACATGGGCCTCCCGGGGAAGCCGGGGGGTGCCAGGTTGTCTAAGGAGTGGGGGACCAGGCCCAGGCCCGACACGGAGCAGGTCAAACTCCCCATGCTGGGCAGCGGTGGGAACGCGCTTGCAAGCAGTGCCTGCAGTTCTGCTCTGGACATCTGACGAGACCCGGTCTCTGGGGGAAAAAAAAAAAAAAAAAAATTGAAGATACGATGACTATATTATAGAAATACTCACTGGGCTATGCAGTTGATATGCTTCAGATGTGCTGTATAAATGTTGATGGAAACAATATTTCCTGTCCAGATTCAGTGTTTTATTTTTTGAAACATTGCAGCGGAAATTTTTTTTTTAATTGCATTTTAGGTTTTGGGGTACATGTGAAGAACATGCAAGATGGTTGCATAGGTGCACACACGGTGGTGTGATTTGCTGCCTTCCTCCCCCTTACCTATATCTCTCATTTCTCCCCATTCTATCTCTCCCCACCTCCCCACCCTCCATCCCTTCCCCATTTCCCCCCAACAGACCCCAGTGTGTAGTGCTCCCCTCCTCGTGTCCATGTGTTCTCATTGTTCAACATCCGCCTATGAGTGAGAACATGCGGTGTTTGATTTTCTGCAGCAGAATTTTTATGTTTAATTCTTTTACCTGGTAACAGCTTCTGGGCCAATTTTGTTTCAGTTTGTTGTAACTCAGAAAAAAGAAAAAAGGAAGTGGCGTCACCTATTGAATCACTGGCAACATTTCCTGTTGTGTATTTGAAATTTAAGATAACTACTAGCTGGGATTTCCTAATGAATTGCCAACTTTGTTTCAGATTCGATCTGCAACTGCAGACTGACCGTGAACTAATGTGATATAAGAATTGCGTGGGGCGGGATAGCTCTCACCTGTAATCCCAGCACTTTGGGAAGCTGAGGTGGGCAGATCATGAGGTCAGGAGGTTGAGACCATCCTGGCCGACATGGTGAAACCCTGTCTCTACTAAAATACAAAAAAAATTAGGCGAGTGTGGTGGCACGCACCTGTAGTCCCAGCTACTCAGGAGGCTGAGGCAGGGGAATCGCTTGAATCTGGAGGTGGAGGTTGCAGTGACCCGAGATTGTGCCACTGAGATCCAGCCTGGTAACAGAGCAAGACTCTGTCTCAAAAAATAATAATAATAATTATAATAAAGAATTGCTTAGAGGATCATTTCATTATATTCTTTTGGTGAGAATTATTACCATATCACTTCTTCTTTGTTATTAATAAATAGCTCATTTAGGAATAGCATAATTTCCTTTAGACACATTACACAGTCTTTTGACTCAGTTCATTGTTATCATTTTCCTATTGGAAGCTACTTAGTTAGCTTTTGAATTAGAATTCAAATGCTGTAGGAGGCTATTTGAAGCAAAGAAAAGTTACACAAAACCTGATTTAAAAAATTGTGATATTACTGTAATAAAATGACTTTAAAAATCAATTAGAGCATTTGGGTTGATTCCATGTCTTTGCTGTTGTGAATAGTATTCCAGTGAACATACACGTCATACACGTGCATGTATCTTTTTTTTTTTTTTTTTTTGAGACGGAGTTTCGCTCTTGTTACCCAGGCTGGAGTGCAATGGCACGATCTCGGCTCACCGCAACCTCCGCCTCCCGGGTTCAGCCAATTCTCCTGCCTCAGCCTCCTGAGTAGCTGGGATTACAGGCACGTGCCACCATGCCCAGCTAATTTTTTGTATGTTTAGTAGAGACGGGGTTTCACCATGTTGACCAGGATGGTCTCGATCTCTCGACCTCGTGATCTACCCGCCTCGGCCTCCCAAAGTGCTGGGATTACAGGCTTGAGCCACCGTGCTTGGCCGCGCATGTATCTTTATAGTAGAATGATTTATGTTCTTTGGGTATATACCAAGGAATGGGATTGCTGGGTCAAATGGTATTTCTGGTTCTAGGTCTTTTAGGAATTGCCACACTGTCTTCCACAGTGGTTGAACTAGTTTACACTCCCACCAACAGTGTAAAAGTGTTCCTTTTTCTCCACATCCTCTCTAGCATCTGTTGTCTCCAGATTTTTTAGTGATTGCCATTCTGACTAGCACGAGATGGTATCTCATTGTGGTTTTGATTTGCATTTCTTTAATGATCAGTGATGTTGAGCTTTTTTCATGTTTGTTGGCTGCATACATGTCTTCTTTTAAGAAGTGTCTGTTCATGTCCTTTGCCCACTTTTTAATGGGGTTGTTTTTTTCTTATAAGTTTGTTTGAGTTATTCGTAGATCCTGGATATTAAACCTTTGTCAAATGGATAGATTGCAAAATTTTCTCCCATTTTGTAGCTTGTCTGTTCACTCTGGTGATAGTTTCTTTTGCTGTGCAGAAGCTCTTTAATTAGATCCCATTTGTGAATTTTTGCTTTTGTTGGAATTGCTTTTGACGTTTTCATCATGAAATCTTTGCCCATGACTATGTCCTTAATGGCATTGCCTAGATTTTCTTCTAAGGTTTTTATAGTTTTGGGTTTTACATCAACTCAAATGCCCATCAATGATAGATTGGATAAAGAAAATGTGGTACATATACACCATGGAATACTCTGCAGCCATAAAAAGGAATGAGATCTTATCCTTTGCAGAGACATGATGGAACTGGAAGCTGTTATCCTCAGCAAACTAATACTAAATCAAACATGTTCTCACTTATATGTGGGAGCTGAATGATGAAAACACATGGACACAGGAAGGGGAACAGCTGACACTGGGGCCTGTGGCGGGGGGTTGTGGTGGGGTAAAAGAGAGCATCAGGGTAAATAGCTAATGCTTGTGGGGCTTAATACCTAGGTGATGGGTTGACGGGTGCAGCAAACCATCATGGCACATGTTTACCTATGTAACAAACCTCCAGGTCCTGCATATGTATCCCAGAACTTAAAATAAAATGAAATAAAAATCAATGAGATGTTTTTCAGTTAAAAGATGAAAGATATTTGAAAGTGAAAAAGTAGATACTACTTTATATGAGTGATCTTAAGTATTTGCACAAATAAAGCATTTTGGAAGCAACATAGTTATAGTTGAAAATTGAAACTACCCAAAATGTTTTCTTTCAAAATTGGAGAGATTTACTCAGATTTCTGTAAGGAAGGAAAATGCTACCACCTTCTAGTCTCTGTTTGTGTTGTCACTAAGTATTTGACTTTTTATTTTTAATGTGACGCTTTCTTTAAAAAATTCTGTAGTATTTAACATCCAGTACTTGTTGAGTGCTTACTATGTGGTAAACACTATTCTAAGCATTTACATACATTGGTTCATTTAATCCTCAAAAAATTCTGCAATCATTTTTTTTTTTCCATCTGCATTTTACAGATGCAGAAACCATGGCACAGAAAAGTTAAGTAACTTCTCCAAGATTACATAACTAGGAAATAGCAGAGCTTGGCTTCAGAGTCTGTGCATTTAACCTTTACTATGCCACATTGTTTCTCAATCAGTCTTCTCTAATTCCACCATTAATAGCTTGTTGTTGTTTTCAGTAACTTTTCATGACTTTGAAAGCAGTTTCATATCTTGATTCTCACAAAAGTCTTGAGCTAAGTAGGATAGGTATTATTATTAGCCATGTTTACAGCTGAGTAAACAGATGTTTAGATAACTGTCTAAAATGTATCAGAAACAAGGCTAACATTCTGCCATTTAAAGTCATTGT